AACCCAACTGCTGCCCCTGAGATAATATCAGGCCCAAGTGCTGCTCCTGAGGTGGCATTAAACCCCTGAGGTGACAGTAAATCCCCACTGCTGCTCCTGAGGTGACAATAAACCCCAAGTGCTGCCCCTGAGGTGACAGTGAACCCCTGAGGTGACAGTAAACCCCTGAGGTGACAGTGAACCCCAAGTGCTGCTCCTGAGGTGACAGAAAACCCCAAGTGCTGCTCCTGAGGTGACACTAAACCCCAACTGCTGCTCCTGAGGTGACATTAAACCCCTGAGGTGACAGTAAACCCCCACTGCTGCTCCTGAGGTGACATTAAACCCCTGAGGTGACAGTGAACCCCAAGTGCTGCTCCTGAGGTGACAGTGAACTCCTGAGGTGACAGTGAACCCCAAGTGCTGCTCCTGAGGTGACAGTGAACCCCAAGTGCTGCTCCTGAGGTGACATTAAACCCCTGAGGTGACATTAAACCCCAAGTGCTGCTCCTGAGGTGATATTAAATCCCTGAGGTGACATTAAACCCCAAGTGCTGCTCCTGTGGTGACATCCAGCCCCAGCTGCTGCTCCTGAGGTGACACTAAACCCCAAGTGTTGCTCCTGAGGTGACAGTAAACCCCAAGTGTTGCTCCTGAGGTGACAGTGAACCCCAAGTGCTGCTCCTGAGGTGACAGTAAACCCCAAGTGTTGCTCCTGTGGTGACATCCAGCCCCAGCTGCTGCTCCTGAGGTGACAGTGAACCCCAAGTGCTGCTCCTGTGGTGACAGTGAACCCCAAATGCTGCTCCTGAGGTGACAATAAAACCCCACTGCTGCTCCTGAGATGATATTGAGCCCCAAGTGTTGCTCCTGAGGTGACATCCAGCCCCAGCTGCTGCTCCTGAGGTGACAGTGAACCCCAAGTGTTGCTCCTGTGGTGACATCCAGCCCCAGCTGCTGCTCCTGAGGTGACATTAAACCCCTGAGGTGACAGTAATCCCCAGCTGCTGCTCCTGAGGTGACATCCAGCCCCAGCTGAGGTGACATCCAGCTTGCCCCTTGCCTGGCTTAAGGATTTCCCAGCACAGCTTGCCCCTGGCTCTCTTTACTCTGCAGCCTGTGACCAGCAGGACTATGGCACAGGAACATGCAGGACAGTGGCTGCAGGTGCTCTCCAGAAACTCCAGCACATTTCCAGCTTTGSTGCAGGAGAGCCTCTCGTAGCCATTTAGAGGGTCAGAGCCACCMCAGCATCACCCCAGGGAGAGCCTTTCCTGAGGAGCAAATCCCCAGCTTGCCCTGCCACAGGACCCTAAAAGAGATGAGGGAGGAAGGCTCAGGATTTTCAGACAGCAGAAAAATTCCTTCCTGTAAAAGGACAGTCAGGTGACACCCAGGGAGGTGTGGAGTGCCCATCCCAGGAGGTGTCCAGGAACACCAGGACATGGCACTGAGCTGGTGACAATGTGGGGATGGTGACAGAGGTGGCACCTGATGACCTTGGAGGTGTTTTCCAGCCTCAGTGACCCCGGGATTTTGGATGTGCAGAAGGCAGAGCTGAGCTGGGCTGTGCTGTCTGTGGGTCACCAACAGGAGCACCCAGAATGGGGAATGGGGAATGGGAAATGGGGAATGGGAAATGGGAAATGGGCACCTGAGCTCAGCACAGGTTGGTGTCAGGGCCTCTCACTGCTCTGATCAGCCCCCAGGCTGATCTCACCATCCCCTGTGCCTCTTTCTCCTCCTGGAACACAGAATTTAAAACCTCTGCAGCCTCAGCCAGGCAGCAGCCCCCACCTGTAGCTGTGCAATGCTGCCCTAAAGGGATTTGGGAGGTTATTTTAGGGACAGGCCAAAACCCCACCTGTGGCTGTGCAATGCTGCCCTACAGGGATTTGGGAGGTTATTTTAGGGACAGGCCAAAACCCCACCTGTAGCTGTGCAATGCTGCCCTAAAGGGATTTGGGAGGTTA